TTTTTTTTTTTTTTTTAGAGAGAGTGGAAGTGAGGGGGGAGGGGGAGAGAGAGGAGAGAGAGAGAGAGAAACATTGATGTGAGAGAGACACAGGATTGGTTGCCTCCCACAGGTGCCCTGACTGGGGACGGGGATTGAACCTGCAGCCCAGGTACGTGCCCTTGACCGGAAAGCGGACCCAAGACCCTCGGGTGTGCAGGCCCACGCTCTAACCCTGGTTCTCAACCTTGGCGGCACATTAGAATCACCTGGGAATCTTTTTAAAATCCTGATTTCTGGGCCTCATCCTCCGGAAATTCTGTTTCTTTGTTACTAATGTTGTGGCCCCCACCCCATCACAAAGAAACAGAATTTCCGGAGGATGAGGCCCAGAAATCAGGATTTTAAAAAGATTCCCAGGTGATACTAATGTGCAGCCAAGGTTGAGAACCACTGCTCTAACCCCTGAGCCAACCAGCCAGGCCTGGACAAATGCTTATTTGCGTCTTTTAAAAGACAGGCACCTGCTAGGCTCAGGGGACACACCTGTGGCGGGGACGCCCATGGAGACCCCCGCACGGAGCTCCCAGAAGCCTAGCTTGTGTTTGGAAGCGAGGACAAGAACAAGAACAGTCCAGATGTGAAGAACGGGAGAGAGAGAGAGAGAGAGAGAGAGAGAGCAGAGGAGAGGGCTGGGAGGGCCTGACGGCATCATCTGCTGCCTGGACCCAGCTGTGCCTGAAGCCGGGTCCTAGCTATGAGCCGGCAAGCTCCCTTTTGTCCTTGGGGCCGTTAGAGTTGGGCTTCCGACACTCGTAATGGCAAAACCCCCGTGAGCACCTGAGTCACGGTGGCCCTAAGTGGCCGAGGCCGGGAAGTGAGTCCCATGTCCCAGGCCACGGCGAGTAAGTGCAAGGGTAGGTCTGAGCCTGCGTCTTCACCACAGGAAGCTGGCATCTAACCTCAACACCTTCCTGTGACAACGAAAACAAAAATGGTTTTGTTCTGGCTCAGCTGGGAGGGCCGGGACGCTAAGGGGCTCCCTGGCCCGCGACGCTCTTCAAGGACCCCGCACAGCCCCACGTGCGTGCTCGGAGGGGCTCCACCAACAGCAGGTGCTGTGCCTGGCGCCAGCCCCCCAGGATAACCCTGTCCCTCCAGCACCACCCCTGCCTTCTCCCCGACCACCAGGCCACACGCCCACCTGCCCGCTCAGCACGGAAGGGCTGGGGGCTGCGGGGGCTCTCCCAGGCCACC